ATTCACTTGCGTGACGCTATCGCTACTGAAGGACACGCGGCCAACATCGGTTGTTTGACCAATCTCCCAGCTACTTATGTTGGAAGTCCACGCCATATGCAAGGGCAAATTTAAAGGAGAGGTAGTTCTTATCCCACGAATTCCTATTATTCCAACAGATCTTCCATTCCAATTCAAGACGATTCAGTTCCCAGTTCGATTGGCATTTGCGATGACCATCAATAAATCGCAAGGCCAATCGTTGGAAGTCTGCGTGATAAATCTAGAATATCCATATTTTTCACATGGCCAGCTATACGTAGCCTGTTCGCGTGTGGGAAAGCCGTCATCATTATTTATTTTTACACCGGATAACAAAACAAAAAATATTGTTTATCAGATCGCTCTCCACAGATTTCAAGTCAAAAAAATTTGTCAATCCAACGACAGGTTTGTTTAAAAGTCATCACTTCTTTTTGATTCTCAACTAATTTTGAATTCAAATTTTAGCCTAAAATTTTTAGGAGAAGATAGGAATAAGGTCAGCTCTATGAATTTTTATGCGTATCGATTGATGATGTTTCAACAGTACTGTTTCGACATGTAAGTCAAAGTAGAAACGGAACGTCTCAATTTAATTTGTTTTAATCAGTCGAAGTTGGGGCGAGATAAAGTTCGCCGGGTCCGCTAGTATTTATATATATATATATATATATATTTATATATATATATATATATATATATTTATATATATATATATATTTATACATATATAAATATAATAAATATATACTTTGTTTTATATTAAACACAGGTAACTTTTTGTCATTGCATTACTCAATTTAGGCAGATCTCAACTTTGTTAGACCCTAATCTTTATAAAATGTATCAATCAATAAGATTTTGCGCGAATTTAACACAGATAAATTAAGCAGATTTAACGTGAAACCAGGTATCTGGTCCCTCTTCGATGCCTGTTTTAGATTTTCTTATATGTCTTTGGTTTAAGGGGGTCTTCTCATTCAAAACCCGTTTTTTGGACCCTTTTTAAAAAAATTCTTATTTGAAAACGCAAAGAATAATTGAAAACTTTTTTTTATTTATTGTATTAAAAAATGTTCAAATTAAATAAAAAAATTGTTTTTGCCTCGGTACGAGGGTTGTTCAAAGAGTTATGAGACTTCAAACTTGGTGGTGAAAAAAAAAGGTGTCGTCCTGGCGGCCACGATTCAGGGTTTCCAGACCGTCCGAAATGAAAAAAAAATAACGGGGTTATAATCAGAATAGATGTCATTTTCGGGTGACGGAACAGATTTTTTTTTTAATTTTTTTAAACAAAATGGCGGCCATTCAAAAAAAATTTAGATTTCGGGCTTTTTTTTTTTGGTTTAGTGTACAAAAAAAAAGAAAAAAATTTTTTCTTTAAATCTGTTCCGTCACCCGAGAATGGTGACAATTCTGCGTTGATTCCACTTTGTTTCATGAAAATCGGTTCAGTTGAACTGGCCGCCAGTTCAAAAAACGTGGTTTCGAGATAAAAGAGATAAAATTTAAAGTTTGAAAAAAGCCAATTTTGCGAAGAAATTGCTTTCCAAAAATGGCTGTATCTTCTAAAGTATTTCGATTTTCTAAAAATCCTTTTGGGGACATATACACAACATCCCAAGCTATAAATAAATGCAAAAAAAAAAATCGAAAAAAAAAGTTGCTCAATGAGAAGACCCCCTTAACCACACAGCACTTTATGGTTCAGTATAGCAATTTCTAATCATATTTGCTTCTGCTCTGAAAATGAGTGCAGTGTCGACGAGGCATTGCAAATTTAACATGTTTAAAATGACGATAATATTATCATTATCGTCATTTTACTTACACTTAGAGCCTATTTACACCAGGCTGCGTTATAGCGTTACCTCAGTAAACGTAGTTTTTGTTTACTAGTAGTTTTTAGTGGTGGGAAATAGTTGCGTCCAAGTTGCGTTCATATCGATAACAACAGATTTGTTCGATTGTCGTGTGGATTACAAGAAATTTGTTAGATTTCTACTCGATATTCGGACTATCGAACAAGTTCCACCACCAAATCGGTAAAAAAACAAAGCAGCCGACGATTGATAATTCAAATAATTCAATCTGATTTCAAAAACGGCCGAAAATAGATTTGTGTGATACACAATGTGTGAAGAAAAAGAGCTGTCGTTGGGGGCACTTCTAGGGGATTGGACGGAAAATGTCTTAGCCAGTCGTCCATTCCTGAGACTGGCCAGTGAAAGAATTGTCGGGACCAATTGGAAGAACTACTAAAAAAGAAAAAAAAAAAAGCGGACTCCGCTTCATCAGGAAGACAGAAACAAACTTAAAACCAAACAATTAAAATAAAAATCTATAAATTTAAAATGTATATGCAAATTATTTATTGGAAATGTACGCCCAACGCTTGCCTAAAGCGTTATGCACTTTCGGTTGCATTTCCTATACAAGTTTCTTGATCAGGTTGTCCCTCCCTTATTGCACACTATAGTGGGGTATTCCGCAGAGGATCCCAAGGTGTTCAAGGCAATCCCTTAATTTTGAAGCTACTCGAAGGTTGCCAAATCCATGAACTTTATCTTTATGTTGCTCTATTGCTGATATTATCAAGCTGTCGTCGTTGTTCATATATACACTTGCTCTCATATCTCTGCGTACAGGACAATAAAAAATCATATCATTGACTTTAATGTCAAATAACTCTGCAAATATTTTGCACTGCGAATCAAAAATTGGTTCAATCTATTAGTCATTCAATTGACGTCGCCTCTTTATTTTTGCAGAATTATGAGCCTAGCGGTTTTCTTCTAATGACCATTTTACCCAAACCCCTTTAAAAATAGCATTCTCAAAAGTGTGCGTACAGCAAAGAAGATCGTAATTTAATGTCCAATGCAATTCTATTTTTGTTTAAAGTTCGCTTTGATTCTTTAATTAATCAATTTTTTTTCCACGCCGTTGGCCGCCATACATCCCCATATCATAACTTCGCCTGCTCCATGTTTTACGGTAGGCATTAAAGTTTGCTTTTCCAAGGCAGTACCACTCTTCCGCCACACATATTTTTTCCCCTTAATGCCGAAAATGCAGAACTTGCTTTTGTCCGAAAAAATGACTTTATGCCAAACTCGGATGGCTTCGTTATGTGGTCATTTGCAAAATCCAATCGCTTTTTATACCCTTGCAGGGTATTATAATTTCAGTCAGAAGTTTGCAACGCAGTGAAGGAGACGTTTCCGACCCTATAAAGTATATATATTCTTGCTCAGCATCAACAGCCGAGTCGATCTAGCCATGTCCGTCTGTCCGTCTGTCCACCTGTCCGTTTCTACGCAAACTAGTCCCTCAGTTTTAAAGCTATCTGAATGAAACTTTGCATATAGTCTTCTATATACTCTCTCTGCTATATATGTCGGAACGGGCCGGATCGGACGACTATATCATATAGCTGCCATACAAATGTTCGATATATTTGTAGAAAAAAATTATAACTTTGCTGTTTTTCAATATTTTTGCACCATTTTTTAGATATGGCCATTCTATATTATTTTTAAATTTTGGTAAAAATTTTATGAAAATCGGACGACTATATGATATAGCTGCCATAGAAACGATCGGGAAATTAATAGGAAAAAAATTATAGCTTCGTTGTTTTTCAACGTATTTTTATCTACTCTGAGATATAAGCTTTTTTTATTGTTCTAGAATTTTGGTATAAATTTCATAAAAATCGGACAAATATATCATATAGCTGCCATAGAAGCGATCGATAATTGTATCAAATATGTAAAGCTGGGAAGCTGTCAAACTGTAAACATAATAGGTATAGGTAAACTGTAATGAAACTTTGTTTTGTGAGTGTATTCAACAATTATATCTATAATATAAACATCAAAACCAATCTGCAAGGGTATACGAACTTCGGCGTGCCGAAGTTAGCTTCCTTTCTTGTTCTTATTATTTTCGGTAATAAAAGGTTTCCTTCTGGCCACGCGGCTTTTGTATCCACCTTTTTTTATTGCCCGTCGTATGGTATTATCTGATACGGTTTTGGAAAACCATTCCTCACCTTCCAGTTTAAGCTTGTGCGCTGTTAATTTTGGATTGTTCTGGACTAGTTGGAGAATTTTTGATTTTTCTCTTTTCATTAACTTGCTTGGACGGCCAGATCTGGGCGCTGATAAGATAGATCCCGACTTTGCGTAATTGGTAATAACTCTTTGAACAGATGAGTGCGATCTGCCAATGGATTTTCCAATCTTCCTGTAGCTTTTGCCTTTAAGATGCAGTTTAAGTATGATTTTTCTTTCGTAAGCGCATATCTGCTTTCCCTTAGACACCATAGTCACAAATGCATATATTACCCATTAAAAATTGATTAATCAAAGAATCAAAGCGAACTTTAAACAAAAATAGAATTGCATTGGACATTAAATTACGATCTTCTTTGCTGTACGCACACTTTTGAGAATGCTATTTTTAAAGGGGTTTGGGTAAAATGGTCATTAGAAGAAAACCGCTAGGCTCATAATTCTGCAAAAATAAAGAGGCGACGTCAATTGAATGACTAATAGATTGAACCAATTTTTGATTCGCAGTGCAAAATATTTGCAGAGTTATTTGACATTAAAGTCAATGATATGATTTTTTATTGTCCTGTACGCAGAGATATGAGAGCAAGTGTATATACTATTAGTAGTCATATAAGACGCTTGCTCATAATTCCGATAATATTTTTAACTGAGACTCAAAATTGGGTTTAGTATAATATAAAAAAAGCTTTCGCACAATTTATTCCTTAACATTACGATTTGCTGCATTTTATCTGCTTCAATAAAAAATGTTAATTTAAACACAAGAAAATATTCCAAAATGTTCTTATTACTAATTATAATTATTGATAAAACACTTTTATAGCAATTTTTTATGTGTTATTCAAAAATCGATCCCTAGTATATATATATATTATACATATTATTTATGTTTTTCAGACGATTTATCGTTGTTAGTAACAACCACACAGAATGAAAATAATGTTTTAGACGATATAATGAATTCATCTGAAGGACATATCGATACATCACTAGACTTAAATGAATTCTTGCGTGATGTTCAACATGAGCACGACTTATCGGGAATGTATCACACAGATCATATTAACGATTTTAATTATTGTTTGGACTCAATATCTCCCATATGTGAACTTCCTTTTCTTAAACAAAGTCCTGAGTCCGAGTCCCATGTCGATGACAATGTAGACGATTTAATCAGCTATTTAAACTTCGATAACTTCAGCCAATTGGGATGCGACACCAAAGCATTAAATACCCGTAATCGTTATACACCCTCTCCCACAGGAAGTTGTAGTAGTTCCAGCGGCAGCTCTACAAGTGGAGTTCAGAGTGACATATCTGATGTATCATTAAATAGGCCGCTTGACCAAGTCATTGTTGAATCAGATAAAGTTGGACAATTTATTAAACCCCAAGAAGATGGACAATTGAATATAAAATTCTGCAGTAACTTGTCCAATTTATCTAAAATAAATGATTTAAAACCACAAAAATCTAACATTACACAGAATCCATCGGCTACTGAAACAAAAAGTATTGGTGCACCACTAAAGCCAAAGACTATAGTTTTATCTTCACGGGACTATAAAGCGCTAATGCAAAAGATACACCCAAGCAGTGCTAAGTCGTTTTCCAAGATAAATGGTACCATCGGCTCTAATATCCCAAAAATCGTTATAAAAAACAATAACATAGAAAGGTTAAAAGTGGAAGATCAAAAAACAGCTCATTCTGTAAGCCAAATGTTAAAAGAAACAATTGGTGGCCACAAGTTTGACTTCTTAAGAAGCATGACAGCTGACGAGAAGATGTACAAAAAACAGCAACGTTTAATCAAAAACCGGGAATCTGCTTACTTATCCCGTAAAAAAAGAAAGGAATATGTAGTAGCATTGGAGACTAAAATCAATAAACTTGAACAAGAAAATTATCTACTTAAGGGTGTAAGTATAAACCTTATCTTACCTTAAATAAATAGTTATAATTGCAAGATGTACAGTACATATCAAGTGGAACTTGCGACTTCAAGCACGTGCTTGTTCGTGTTAGTAGACTCGAAGGAAAAAAATAGAACAAGAAAGGAAGCTAACTTCGGCACGCCGAAGTTTGTATACCCTTGCAGATTGGTTTCGATGTTTATATTATAGATTTAAATGCTGAAAACACTCACAAAACAGAGTTTCATTACAGTTTACCTATACTTATTATGTTTACAGTTTGACAGTTACAGTTTTACATTCCCAGCTATACATATTTTATACAATTACCGATCGCTTTTATGGCAGCTATATTTGTCCGATTTTTATGAAATTTATACCCAAATTCTAGAACAATAAAAAAAAGCCTATATCTCAGAGTAGATAAAAATACGTTGGAAAACAATGAAGCAATAATTTTTTTCCTATTCATTTCCCGATCGTTCCTATGGCAGCTATATCATATATTCGTCCGATTTTCATAAAATTTTTACCAAAATTTAGAAATAATATAAAATATCTAAAAATAATAAAAATAAAATATCTAAAAAATGGTGCAAAAATATTGAAAAACAGCTAATTTATAATTTTTTTCTAAAAATTTATTGAACTTTTTTATGGCAGCTATATGATATAGTCGTCCGATCCGGCCCGTTCCGACATATATAGCAGTGAGAGTATATAGAAGACTATATGCAAAGTTTCATTCAGATAGCTTTAAAACTGAGGGACTAGTTTGCGTAGAAACAGACAGACGGACGGACGGAAGGACGGACAGACGGACATGGCTAGATCGACTCGGCTGTTGATGCTGATCAAGAATATATATACTTTATAGGGTCGGAAACGTCTCCTTTACTGCGTTGCAAACTTCTGACTGAAACTATAATACCCTGCAAGGGTATGAAAATATGCGATGAAACTACTAATGCCAGATTGGTTGCTTGCATGCGTACTAAGTATGTTAAGATTAAAGTTTTTAGTTCAGGAAAGCTATCTACATTAGATGTTATGGTGTACAAATCATTATAATTGGCACAGAGGACTTTAAATGGTTTATGCAGTTTAAAGTTCTACAGTGGGGTAATACGACTACGCTCACACCGACCGTAAAAGGTAAACAAAAAAAACGGCCGCCTTTCGCGGCGTATTACTATGAATTTCTGAATTTCTCGTCGAAGTATTCTTGAATAAATAAATGCAGAATCCTTTAAATTTATGTTTTTAACCTATGATGCCTAAATTTTTTTAATTATTACCAAAAAAAAAGTTTAATTAATTTTACACCGCAAGAACCTTGCCCCCGCAAAACATATTATTTTTCCTAATTTTCTAATATTTTTTCAGTTCAAAAAACCAGCGAAATGATATAAAAATAAAATTCTCATTGTGAGACCATACTGTCAATGAGCTGGCTAATACATTTTTCAATTACAATTTTCTTCATTAAACCCGTATTTTGTTATCGAGTATCTAGTATTTGTATGTAGATCTATCAATTATCGCGCCAATGAAGCGCCATATAGTCGTCTTGCTCGCACTTGTGTAAAACGCTATAGCGCTGTCAAATCTTTAATGAAGTATCTAATTAATGCGCCTGTGTCATATCAGCATTAGCGGAGACCCTAAGATCTTCCAATATCGAGAAGTTTGTGGAGGCATAAGCTCCCAAGGGCTGGGGCTCGTTTTATATAGGGCCCTGGCGAGGTTAAGTGTGACCAACGCCTGGGAGGAATATGCCATTTGGTGTGGCGAGATCCTTTTTGGGCCAGTGTGACCTTTTTGCGCACGATTCAATTTTAATATATTCCATCTTCATAATTTTCTATTGTATAATCCCTTTTCTATATCTTAGGTATCATTTGTGAGCGTCTGCGCGTCACATCTGCTATATTTTACCTGTTGATTTTGTTTCATTTGACCAAAACTGATAAATGATTAAATGTCAGGGTATACAAACTTGTCAGGGTATACAAACTTCGGCCTTCCGAAAGTTTATTCAGGAACCTAAATAAATATAACTTAAAAGATATAATTATAACAATATTTCCTTTCCTATATTTTAACAGGATAACAAAAACCTACGCAATCAGCTAATTGCTTTTGAAAAAACATGCACGCATCATACCGGGAACGCTGGTGAAAATGTGCTACAATCTTTGATTTCTAATCCGAAGAGCGAAAAACATCATATAAGGATCGCACCGAAACCGAAATGCTCTAATCAAAAACTAAGTACAGCAACGGTAAAAAAGAACGTCGCACTATTATTTGCCATGGCTTTCATGGTAACTCTAAATGCTGGAAATTTTCAGTCATACTTAAAAAAGTCAACTATTCAAGAAGACAGTAACATTCTCGAAACAGCCCTTAAAGAAACTAGCCTGCCTGGTCGCCGATTACTTTGGGTAGAATCGAAAGCTGAATATAATGAGACATCCATTACCAATTCACAAATATCAGATCAAACGGAGGTACCACCTCTTTACTTTTTAAATACTACCAGGCTTACCAACAAGAAAAACGATTTAGAAAAGGGTACCAGCATTTTGTCAAATTACGCACATAATGAACCTCCACCTTTAGTTTATTCATCGAAATGTTTTGGCTGCTGTAACACTTCTAACTTTAATCTTCAGTCTGAGTATTTTAGACTTGCCCAAAATTTAAATAAATGGGCTAATGAAAATGTTAGTACGTCTTCAAAATTTACAAATGTGAAAGATAACCCTCATGGCTTTAATTTACCTAAAGAATATTTTGATCTTAAAACAGAAATACACAGTAAGCATCAGGGAAAGCGTAAAATATATATGGATCTTAATGATTTTTCCTCTGATATTCAGAACAAACGAAAAAGAATTGATAAAAAAACAAACAAATTTATGTTTAATAAAAGCGAACAGATTAACTTGATTAATGGTATAAACAGAAAAGATGATACGTTCTATGCTATATCCTTTAACATGGACCACATACTCCTTCCACCATCCAAACTAAATAATAGTGTTCGACCAAAAATGTCTCTGTTATTCCCTAAGGGCAATCAAGATCATAACGGTGAATTTATGTTTGTGCAGGTGGACTGCGAGGTTTTTAACATGAAAGAACTCGATTTGAAATCTTTTATGATCCCAGTTGGGCTCCGTCCCAACAATACCAAGTGGAAATCGAATACGCAAAAGGATCATGAAGGGCGATTTAATGCAATACCTGACCAAGGCACTATAATGATAAACGATAAACCGCAAGTGCGTACTTTTTATATGGTTGGTCCAAAAAACCAAGCTGCCGCAGCTGCATCACAAGAAAAAACACGCTTGGTTCAGTTTAATCAAACTGTGATTACTAAAAACAATCAGATACCCATGCCCAGATGGAACTCTCGGAATCGTACACCACTGCACACATAATTAAAACCTATGCTTAAATATTTTATGTAATAAAGTCATCATTCATTAGACAAATTCTAATTATTATTATTTTTTGTTTATATTTAAGCTACTTTTTAAAAATTAAATGTATGGAATTATACAATATCTTCTGTTCAATATAAAAGTGCCTTTATTATCCTTTTTGAATATACATTCTCTTAAGGGTCCATTCTGGTAAGTTGGGCCAAAAAATTGGCTATTTGCAGGAATTTTTTGTGGACAAAGGAAAAGACAAAGTTCCAACTTGTCACATATATTTATCATAGTTTAAAGATGATTTAGCAAAAATTTCAAAAATTTTAGAGCATTTCCTGAAGCAGGACTCAGGGCGACGTAAGCCCATGCCCAAAAAAGGAACCCTCTGGCGACCATCCTGCAGGACGTAAAAATCGACAGAAAGAAAAAATTCAAACTCGTTAATGTTTAGTATGAATGTGGTTATGAAATAGGCTACTTTTATCAAAATTCAATAAAAAATAAAATGGCGGCGCTTAAAATTTTTTTTTCGTTTTTGTGACAATTTTCTTCACTTTTTTGTTGATTAAAAATTCCAATGTATAAGCTATCAATATAATTGTAGCCTATTCCATGGACACGTTAATTACGCGTATTTAAAAAAAAATCATTAAGATTCGTAAAAAAATTGACTGATATATGATGGTCGCCAGCTCGAAAAAGTAGTTTTCGAGAAAACGCGTTTAAAGTTTTATGTTTGCTCTGTAGCTGCTTTGAGTCGGCCGGATCGGAGGCTCATAACTTTTAAAATATTACGTATTAAATTTTAGTATGATATTCTAGACACTTAAAGCTATCGAAAAAATCAAAAAAAAAAAAAATAATTTTTTTTCAACTAACACGAATGGACCCTTAATATAAAAAAATTAATATTTTACTTAAGGGGGGATATATGTACATGTAAGCGGTCAAAATTTGGCCATTTTTCGTGATTTTTTTTTATAAGAAATAGTCAAGCAATCGTCGTGAAACTTTGGATATAATTAAAAGTAGGATCACAGATGATAAAAAATTATTTATAAACAATAGTTATAATAATAATAGTTATAAACAATATTTTACAAAATGGTGGATTTGTGGAACATATTCCGTAGCGCCTCGAGCTTTGAGTTGCCGTGCTATGGACACGATTGAGCTCGTAATTCCTGTCCGAAATCCGTAAAATAAATTTTTTTGTATTCATTACACCTTTATCTCTTCTATTTGAACCTAAAAAACCAAAAAGAAATCAAGACAAAAAAAATTAAATTTTGATTTGAAGGGAAAAATTCCAATTTCAGGTGATCAGTTTTCACTTCCCACCCTCTTAAAAAATAGTAATACTCAGTTTTATAACAACCATTTAGGTTCAAATAGAAGATAATTGCATGCTGATCATAATAATTTTTGATTCACTCCGATATGTTACGTAGTTTTTTGTGAATCGTGTCCATAGCATAGGTAGAAATGCCGAAATTAGAAGCTGAGAAAAAGACGACTTAACAATTGTGATCCTTGCGTGCATACTTGATTTGAGGCACTTAAAGTTGGAATTTGATAATGAAA